TGTGTGTGTGTGTGTGTGTGTGTGTGTGTCAAGCTTTTTTTAAACATTTTAACTTGGCTTGTTTTTGATGGTTTAAAGACGTTTGATGATGACATAAAAACTCACCTCTTCGGAGGCAGATCACAGCGAAGCTTCATGTACATCAACAACCTGAAGGAGAACAACAAAGTTTTAACCTTCTGACCTCGTGATCTACAAATCAACTTGACTCATATTCTAATGGAGACTAATATTTCATGGAAACGTTTTTTAGAGGATCAGGACACAGCAGGAGATTGTTTGTGTGTGTGAAGCAGCAGATCGTCGACTCGTTCACAACAACAGGAACATGTGGGACATTCAGGTGAGGGGTGGAGCCTGTAGAGCAGCAGGAGGCGGGACATGACGTCTAAACTGTGTAAAGATCAGTGTTGTTGTTTACAGCTCGTCCACACGGCGTCGGCCCTCATCACCAAAACATCTGGAACCTCATCGTCTTTCCAAGTGGACGTCTTCGTCTTCTACGTGTACGGCTCCTCTTCTTCATCCTGAGACATTTGTGTTCTTCAGTTTCACGTCCGTCACGTGTTAGAAACCTCAGAGACACGCCCACTCGCACACTGAGAAGGTTCCAGATGTTTTCTCACATGGACTCACTCTGACATTTTACAGATGTTTCACTAGAGGCTGCAGGAGAAGATCCAGAACATGTCCAGAGACACTGACTCAGACATTTGTTCTCACATACAGAACATGTCAGGAACACGTCAAGAACATGTCACAACACATCAAGAACATGTCAGGAACACATCAAGAGAACACGTCAGGAACACGTCCAGAACACTTCAGGAACACGTCAGGAACATGTCAGGAACACACCAGAGCTTCATGTCTGAAAACATCTTGTCTACGAAGATTCTGGATTAATTCACAACATAAAAAAAGAGTTTGATTAATTAGATTTTGGCTCAATGTGTTTCCATGTGGAGAAAACGTGTCCAGAGTAAAAAAATAACTCGTCTTCAGTTTAAATGGATGTTGTGTAGAGCGGCTGAATCTGATCTGAAGCTTCATGAGTTTCAACTGTTTCTTTAAAAACGTGTTTGATTTGTGACATTCAGGCTGTTGAAGCTTCATATTTACACGTTAAACACAAAACACTTTTGATTGTTCACATAGTACAAACTGTCACGTGTGAGGTTGTGTCGTGTGTTGTCGTCTTCACCTTCCTCCGTTGTCTCTCTCGACGGTCGGGAAGAGACGGAAAGGAGGAGCTGAGGGCAGATCGTTGCTCAGCTGATACTGCATCACTGTTTGCTGTGAGAGGACGAGGACAGAGAATATTTAAATATTAAAATACTATAAACAGGAGAAGGCATCAACAGTGCTGATGATTCCAATGTTTCTGGTGGAACATAAAACAGAAGCACAGCTGGAGGAATCTGTGGACACATTAAGGATTAAGACAAAATGAGAGGGTTCTTAAGTTGAACTGAATCAGAAGAAGAATTTGTCATATTTCATAAACAAAGCTGAAGTTCAGGTCCAGAAGTGAAATCAAGATAAAACTGTAATCACTTCTACTGAAGTTAGAGGTGGAGGTCGGGGTTTTAAACTCTTTCAATGGTCAGAGAATGAAAAACATTTTCCAAGAAGTTTTATATTGATATATATTGAGTGCCATGAGATTTTTGTGCATTGGTATAAAATATATCAAATGTGAGTGAACAGTCGAAGACAACGTGAAGACCAGCACCTCTCCCTGACTCGGACACAGTCGGAGGATGCGGTGGCTGTCGAACTCGTCCAGTCGTACAGCTTGATGGAAGCTGCACTCATCGACCCGAACAGCTGCTCCGTAACCTGGTGGCAAAAAACATCAGGACCTAGAATTAGTTTCACCAATCAGAGCAGGTTAAGGCTGAGGTCACAGTGAGGTCACAAATTTAAAGAAATTCCCTCAACACGTTCCTGAGATACCGTGTTCATATTGTAAACTTTAAACCCGTCACTTCTCATCACTGTTTGTTTGGTGACGTGAAGCACAAGCTCAAAACGACCCCTGAAACAATGCATCCTGGGAAATTGAACATGTGAGAAGTGTCAAGTACCATCATCAGGTATCAAACACGTGGACAGGTGAGGTGAGACTCTTCTCACGTACCGCTCGGATCTTCCACCACAGTTCCACTGTTTATCTGTCACAAACATAAATATTTGCTACACTTCCTGTGCCCCTTTCAAAGTAAAAGTACTACAGCTTTTCTGCAGTTTTAACAATTTTTTGTTTTAACTAGGGCTCCGCGATATTAGGAAAACGTGATATGTGATAACATTGTTTAATATAGTGATGACAATGATTTGCGATAAATAAATATGAACAGTCCCTGGCTACTGACGCAGAGACCACGGACATCCCCACAGCCGGCAGAGGGCTCACAGCCCGGCCACAGCGCCACCATGTCCGGGGCAGACACCCGGGAGACATGCACAGCTCCACTGTGTCCACTCACAGTGTTAATGAGGAGTCTTTTCAAACATGTCTGGACCATGAAAAGTTATTTTCTACAGTTCTAGAGGCTCTGTCTGTGATTTACTGCTCCTCTCATGTCTCTGTCATTCACACTGTCTCCTCCACCTCCTCCAGCTCTACATACATTTACTAAGTTTATAAAGTCTGTTGGTTTTATTCAGACTAAGTTCACACGTGTGTCTGATCCCACTGTGTGTGTGAGAGTGAGAGAGACACACACACACTCACACACAGAGCACTATTTACGAGTGTGTGTGTGTGTGTTTTACCTCTGAGCTGTGACTTTCCGATGCTGAACTCTTCATTCAGACCGATCCTCATCTCTATAAAAAGACAACATGTTAGACAAGATAATAATT